TGTGGAAGAGAGAGATGGTGGTACAGTTTATTTAGTGATGGAGCAACCATGTTAACATGACCATTTTTAGTCACTCAGTTTGGGCAGAGTATTAAAAAATATTTTTATTGCCAACTGTCTTCAGCAATAATGCCTTTCTGTAAACAGAACTCCTACTCTTGAGTATTTTTTTACTTGGTTTACTACGTTATTCTTTTATGGATCTTTTTTTAATTTTTCACCAGTTAGGATATTTTTAAAGTTTTAAGTGAATAAAGTAACGTGGTCTTTTTTTCTATATGTGTTTAGTCCATATTAACTCATGTACCTGGTAAACATGGCATTATGTCACATTGGTTCACACAAGATTTTTTTCCCATCTCATTAATGTTTTCTGCCACCAGGTAATAACTCCACACCCCTCCCTAACGGATAACCCCTCTTTAAGTTTAGTATGGTGTCTTTTAGATCTTTTTTTTCTGAATTACTCTGACTTAGCTTTTCTTTTAATGTAATATATCTTGGACTTCATTCAATATCAGTAAAAATTTACTGTATTCTTTTTAATGGCTATCAAGCATTACATGATATAGATTACAGTATTTTATTGAATCTCCTAATAATGGACATGCCTATGAACTGACAACTGGTTGCTTTGATAAGTGTTTTGGAAATGACTTAAAACTAACGATATTCACACAGGAAAGCAAATTTCAAATATATATCATTTAGGTAAAAAATGTTTAATTGTAAGAAGAGCACTTATTCTTTTGGTTTGCCAGTGCATGAGACTATTAAGGAGAAAATAATTCATTACGTTATTTCCTTTCAGGCTCTCGAACAATATGGCCTGATGAAACTATGGGACCATTTGGACCTCAAGATCAGAGATTCCAGCTTCCTGGGAACATAGGTTTTGATTGTCACCTCAATGGGACCATGTCACAAAAGAAAAGCCAGGTTCATAAAACTTTACCTGATATTCTAGCAGAACCTTTATCAAGTGAAAGACATGAGTTTGTGATGGCACAATATGTGAATGAATTTCAGGTAAATTGTTAATATCACTTATTCTGTTTTTCTAACCAATACGTTATTAATTTTTGTTTACTACAAACATTGCTTTCACTGAAAAAGTAAAAAAACATAATTCCAATGTATACAAAAACAACATATATAGATTTTAAAAAATTGGAATTGTCCTATACATCGTGTTCACAATAACTTTTTTTATTTTAGATTACAGTCTTTTTTCAATAATTAAATAATTCTTCAAAAATGTCTTTTTTAATAGCTGTTGTTTCATCCAATTCAGATAGTTTAATTATTTTTATATTACCAGAAATTAAGACTGCTTGTTTTTCACATTTATAAATGGTAATTATAATTTGTATATGGACCAAATTTCTACTAGTTTTATCTTCCTCTAGCCATTTAAAAACTTAAGAAAATTTTGAGATCTCTGGAATTTTTCAGATACAGCCTAAAAAGTAAGACTTACAGATTTTTTAAAAAAACAATTTCTGAGGAGTTTTTTAATGAGTTTTTTAAACCGGTGTTGTTTCATTGCCCAATCAAGTAGAAAGCTACATGCAATTCAGAGTCTGTCAAATCTGAAGTCCATATTATAAATTTTTATATTTCTACCTCATTTCAGGCTGAGTTTTTTGTATTTCTTATAAATTTTTATATTTCTACCTCATTTCAGGCCAAGTTTTTTGTGTGTTTGTTTTTTATAAAAACCATATTAAAAGCAATAACCCCTTACAATTAGTATGGACTATATCAGATAACCTAATACTGGGACACATTCGACCTCCCCTGACTTTTTCCCCTCAAAATAATTCCTTCTCATTTTTCTTGGCTTCTCTTCTGTCTACCAATTACACGATAATTTCCCGTACATTTTTATTCTTCATGTAAATTACTGCCTGGTCACTTATTCCCATCACTTCCTTCACAGGCTGCGTTTTGATAATTTCTAACTTAATATTTCTGTTTCTGACATTTCTAGTTCTATATTTCTATCTTCCTGTTAAATGTCTTTATCTGTATGTCTCACAGGTCCCCAGATTTTGCATGTCTAATACTGAATTAGCCTTTTTTCTCTCAAATCCTGTCCTTATTTCCATATTATAATTTGTCCACCCACTGTTCCAGGATAAAAATTATAGTGCCAACCTTGATTCCGCTCTCCATCATACCCCCACAGATAGTAATAAAATCTCATTGCTTTTATCTCTTAAAGTAGCTTTTAAATTGTGTCTTTTTAATTCTCACTAATATTGCCAGAGTTCCAGGCTACCTTATCTTACCTAGATTCTTAGAGGCATTGTAGTATAATGGACTATGGAGATAGGATAAATCTGGATTCAAAGGTTAGCTCTGCTGTTTACTTGATTTTGTGACCTTCAGAAAATTATTTACCTTTCTAAGCCTCTGTTTCTTTATATGTAAAATGGGGATAATAATAATCTTTGGCTCACAGAGTTGTTAGGAGGATTAAATGTGAAAGTGTGTATAAAGCAATAAGCAGTTAATAAGTTGGCTTTTACTAGTCTTATATCACCTGCTCCCCCTCATCACCATACATCCTCCACAGTAATGTTAGCATTAGCTTTTTGTATCTTGCTATTTCTCATTGCTTCTAAAGTGAGAATTTCTTAATGTGACATAAATGGTTTTCCACAGTTTGACCTTTTCCTTTCCTCTCCTGTCTCACACCACTTCCTACTCTCTCTGCACCCCAGTCACAGCATACTTTTCATTTTTTTAAAATACACTTTTGTTTGACCATCGCACGCCTTATGTCTTGTTGGACTGTTTTTCTTTCTGAGTTCCTAACCTATATTTCACCTATTCTTTTTTTATCAAACATACAAATTAACATATAGCTCAAATATGATGATTTCAACCTTTTCCTGCTTTCTCCCAGCAAAGCAAGTTTCTTCTCCATCTGTACTGCTAGAAGATTTTCTTCATAACTCTGTAGTACTTTTCATATTGGATTGCATATCTGTTCATGCCATTTTTCTTCTACTAACTCTGATATATTTATTAGGGAAGACTAGGTTTTTTACCATCATAATGCCTACTCTGATATATAATAGGTGCCCAGTAAATTTCAGTTGCAGAAAAGCCTCTAAACTCTTCCTATAGTAGAAGCTGTATATTTAATCATGTTATTTTGTAAGTTAGTGTTATCCCCATTTTACAGAATACAGAATGAAAGAAAAAAAAGAAATATTAAATACAAGAGGTAACATTGTAAGACACTATTACAGTATGTTAGTTCATTTCTTAGCCAACTTGTATTTGTATCAAGTCGTTTCTTTTTTTTTTTTTTAGAATTTTCAGATCTTTTATTCATCATAGAGAAAAGTTTAGGTATGTAAGAAAACACTGAATATCACACCACCAACAGTTAGATTAGAATTTTTAAAAACTTTTTAGGGAAGACAGGTCTATAACAGGCAAGATAGTTTATTTTTGAACTCCAAATTTTGTTTACTTAATGTCTTTTTCTTCTTAGGGTAATGATGCACCTGTTGAACAAGAAATTAACAGTGCGGAAACTTACTTTGAAAGTGCCAAAGTAGAGTGTGCAATCCAGACATGTCCAGAATTGCTGCGAAGAGGTTTATTGTGCTTTTATGCATTTTACACTAACATGTATTAGAGAGTGTCTCTAATTTTTTAATATGTTGAAAAATGTACTGCATAAGAATTGTAATGCTTTGTATTTTACTTAATATTTTAACATGTCTGATGCGAAATAATTGCATTGCCAGATAAGGCCTTCAAATGATAGGAATAGTAGAATTTTTATAACTTTTTCCCTAAAGCTTTCCCTCTATTCCTGGGGGTGATTATTACAGCTATAATTTCATGAGCTGATACATAATACCAAGAAAAATCTTTATAAACTTTCTGAAAATTACAAGACTAATAACATGTAACCCTACTTACCCTTCAGAATTGTTGGCAGTAATATTTCAGTTCATCCAGCAAGAGAAGTAAACCAAAATGAAGTTTATTTAATCCTTATCAAAAATAATATGCATTTATAAACCTAATTTGGTATCATCATAATTTAATCATCATTTTTCCAAGGAAATATTTATATGCACTATGTTGTTTATAAAAAATATATATGTTTTCTTCCTGAATTTTCATTCTTATTTATAGATTTTCAGTCACTGTTTCCAGAAGTAACCACCAACAAACTAATGATTCTGACTGTAACACAGAAAACTAAGAATGATATGACTATTTGGAGCGAGGAGGTAGAAAACGAAAGAGAAATGCTCTTAGAAAAGGTAATTCTTTCAATTGCTGACAATTTAATTTTATAACCAATGTTTTAAAATGTTGGGTGTCTTTTCTAGCCTTTATTAATTCTCTGCAACTTATTTTAGTACCAGAGGACTTAACATCTTTTCTGAGAATAACAATGCCACATTTTTTTTTTAGTATAATTGAACAACCTAGATTTTGTCTGGTGCTTTTCTCTCACGCTTTTTTTTTTTTTCTTTTTTTTTTTGAGTTTAGGTCTGTTTTAGGAAATTTGGAAAATAGAGTAAGAACATCAAAAAAATAAAATAAACTCTTCATACCCATGAACTCTCTGATTCTCCGCTCTCCCTCCTTATGTTTCTCTCTTTAAAGCATGTTAAATAAAACATGGAAATTACCACAGCCTTTTTTAAGAAGTAAGCAGTAACTGTGTATCATATGATGATCACAAAAATTATATACCCACATTTTTTTTTCCTGTTTTTTGCTTTAACCTGAAGGTACGTTTTGACATCGTTCCATATCATTATACATAGATATGTTTTATTCTTTGTAAAAATCTATACATTGTATTACATTGTATAAGCAAACCATAAATTTTTTAAGTTACTTAAAATTTTACTTAGTAATTTATAAGTTGAAAATCAAGCTTTTGCTATTACAGTGAATATATTTGTACATATATTTTTTATGCACACACTTATATCTATAGATTCCTAAATAGGGAATTGCTGAATTAAGAAGTATATTATTTTAAATTTTGACAGATACTGCCAATTTGCCTACCAAAATGATTGTCTTAGTGTATATGCTGTCACCCTAGCTTACCCTGGATATTAGCATTTCTTTTTATTTTTACTAATCTGAGAAATGATGAGGTAACTTAAAGTATTAGATATTAAAAAATATATAATTTCTGTAAGAGTTTGATGTTGGATTATATCAGGTTCTTTACAAGATAGAAAGGAATATTTCTGTGCCTGTATGACAAGTTAGGAATAACTCACTTGGGGATCTTAACTAACTATAGTTGAAAAATTACCATTACTAATTTCCATGCATGATAATACTAGAAATCATTTTATATTTTCTCTAGGGTTTGATGTATGGTTCTCTTCATTAGTAAAAATATAATTTATACACTCAACAAAATATTTCATGGTAATGACTTCATAGTACTTAAAAGTCCCACATATAACTTTGCTAATAAATTTCATGTAGTAGTTAACAATATGAGCAAATTATATGCTAGTTAGCAAGGAAATTACAGAGTAGCATAAGACATTGTCTCTGATATGATAGAGATCTGAATTTAGAGAGTTGAATTTAAATAGGCGTTAACTCAATAAATTTTTCTATTCACATTTTGAGATAATGTTTAGTAAATATATATTTATCACTATCATTTAGTTACTAGAGAGCTTTCACAAGTGCATTGCACTAGTGGTCCTAAGTTTTGATCAGGTAAGGATTCTGCACCTCATTTAATACTAACCTCATTATAGTTGTACATCAATTTTAGGGCTTTGAAATGGCAACATGTTTTATCTTGTGATTTTTAATTTTATAATGACTGAACCTATTTTCTATGGAAAAAAAAGATTTTTCTATTTTAGATATGTTAGTGATTATTTTAGAACCACATATACCTTACTGTCCACGTAAGTATTTTGTTTTATGATTTAAATCTACTCTCTTTTTTTCCAGCAGATGTCAGTATTTGCTATTGATGAACAGAATTCTTAAGAGAAAAATACTTAAACTGGTTCTTTTTTGTGATGATTTGAGATTCAGTTAACCAAACAAACATTTGCATTGTTTTGCTCTCCCTGTAGTTTATGTGTATGGCACATCTCTTCATGACATTGATATATATTCTAATGACTTTTCTAGGTCATGTTCAGTAGTTTCCTTTTTTAAGAATGATGATTAATTAAATGTAACAGTAAGTGTAAATATTAAGTATAAAGGTAATCAAAATAATATAGTATTATCTTAATGTTTTTCATTAGTTTACAAGGAAGAATTGAGAGAAAATACATTGGCTTAAATTGTATACTTCTATAGCAGGCGTTAATTCAATAAACTTTTTCTATAAAGAGCCAGATAGTAAATATGATAGGCTTTGTAATCTAAAAGGTCTCAACTACTCAACTTTACCCTTGTATTGTTAAAGCAACCACAGACAGTATATAAATGAACAGGCAGTGCTATGTTCCAGTAAAACTATTTACACAAATACACAGCCAGCTGGATTTGGCCCTCAGATTATAGCTTGCTAACCCCTTATTTAGGATATGGCCTATAGTCCTAAAGCTTTGACTTTTGAGAATCTCAACTGAATGCCACACATGCTCAGTGAGGTCTCTCTACTATGAGTGGGCCAGAAATCTTATCTAGCACTGCACAGCCCTTGATATCACCATTTACTTCTCAGCCCCACAACGGGCACACTCTGCTAGGCCTTGCAGAATCTCATCTTGTGTATGCACAGCTCAGCCCTTGGCTATAGAACCAGGGCTAGTCGCTCTGCAGACTAGTCTGGAGCCTGTTTGCTCATCTCCCTCTTCTCCAGTACCCTGCCCCACAAATTCCAGATGCTTTAGCAGTCCAGAATCCTTGCTTTCTACCTCCTCAGCTCACTTCTTTGGAATTCACTTCTTTGCTTGGAATTCACTTCTTTGCCCTGTGACAAGGTATCCCCTATCAAAACGAGCAAATATGGGGATCACCTCATCAGTTTCCCTTCTCTCAAAGATTTTTTCTGACTGTCATTCAGGGTCTAAAAACAGTTACCTCATATATTTTTGTCAGTTTTATAGTTTTCAGCAGATGGCAAGATTGGTACCTATTGTTCTATTATGGCTGTAAGTGGAACTGTGTGCCATTCATTTTAAACATTTATGATCTATCCTTTTTTTTTTTTTAACATTCTAACCTAGTCCTAATATTTGGTCCTATCCAGTTGTCATTTTTACTGGATAGACTTCTGATAAAGCTAATAAAGACATTATAGAAATTAGGATAGTAAGAACAAGATTTTGAATAGGTGATACATGCACATGGTATATAATAATTATATACTATACAAAAGATAACAAAAGGGTATATAATGAAAAGTAAGCTCCCTGTACCCCATCTATCCATTTTTTCTATTATTTCTATGTGCCTTTTCAGAAATATTCCATGACTATGTGAATGGATAGATGTGTTTTTGAAGGACACACAAACAAGTATGTATTTTTAAGCAACATTTATTCATATTAATGAATGGTTCAGATCTTTTAATTATGAATATTTTGTTTTTCCTTTCTTATTTCTAAAATTTCCATAGTGATACAAAATAGCAACTATAGCTTAACAAATTCAGAAGTTAATAGCACAGAACTGATTAGAAATAGTTCCTAAAACAGGAAATAATTTAAAAGAAAAAATATACAGTTCAGACTTTTTGAAAGGGAGGAAAGTGTTATATAAACCATTAATCTTTTGGACTGGTGATAATAATCTTATGGCTTTACAGTCTGATTTATCAGTTTTAATTTTGATTAATCTTACTGAAGTCTCTATCTGAAACAAAAGATATTTTACAATTTATTAAAAATAAAAATAATATGCTATCTTGAGCATATTATATCTTTTTCCTGTGCAGTTCATCAGTGGGGCTAAGGAAATATGCTACGCTCTTCGAGCTGAAGGCTATTGGGCTGACTTTATTGACCCATCATCTGGTTTGGCGGTGAGTAATTAAATACAATTTGAAAGCCAGATCATAGAATTTGAAATAGGAATGGGTTTTATTATAAAATTGTTTATAACTATAACCTTGGTAAAAATATATCACTTAAGACGTTTTTAAAACCTCACATTTTCATCCAGTCAAGTACCGCTAGAAGTCAGTTGTATTCACAACCACTTAGAGAGACTTCTTATTGCTCACAGTTAAGTTTCTCCATCATTTTAAACTTTTTAATTCAAAATAATAACAGTTATTAATTTCCATTCTTGTTATTTAATTTACATCAAATTAGTGTTTACTATTTGTTGAAAATTAGCAATCATTACTTAAGGAAGAAAAAATGTTTAGAATTAAAATATGGATGGTAAAAGAAATATAAAAGTAACTTTTTGGGGAAATTAACATTTCTAAAGTTATACTTTGAAAATAAATCACTGTCATGGTCACATTTTAAATTCTGGGTATATCTTTTCATTAAAAATAGTAACTAATTTTTTCGAATCTGTTTCTTCTCAAAGTCAAGTGAGGTATAAACTAGACTTGAAACAAAAACCTTATTATGGAGTTTCCTTATCTTGAAAATGATATAGTTGTCCAAAGTTTATTGTATCTTTAAAGGTCATGTAGTATTATGCAATTGGTTCTAGATAACATGAAATTTGCTAGATCATTCAATTCACATTTCCAGAATGCACAGGTTCTAGGGGGAGAAGAGGTGTTAGGGCAGTTTAGGTGTTGCATGTGACCTTTTTATTTATTTCATTTTTTAAATATTTGAAGTATTAAAATAGGTATGTGTTTGCATAAAGTTATTACTCCATTGTCTTTCTTGCTACTGAAAATATTGCTTCATTTCTTATTTCCTCCAGTTTTTTGGACCATATACAAACAACACTCTTTTTGAAACAGATGAACGCTATCGACATTTAGGATTCTGTGTTGATGATCTTGGCTGCTGTAAAGTGATTCGTCATAGTCTCTGGGGTTCCCATGTGGTTGTAGGAAGTATCTTTACAAATGCAACACCAGACAGCCATATTGTGAAGAAATTGAGTGGAAACTAGCAGTAATGTCAAATAATTTGCTGTACTATTTCTACCAAACATTTGGATTGATCTATAAACACTGTCAAAGGCTTCAGTTTTTAAAATTTACTTATCTCCAGGTATTTATTGCAACATTTATGATTTTACGGTAATGGCAGTTGGTTTGTGATTTTTAAATTCAAATATTCATTCACATTGTCACTGACTACATGTTGGGCACATCCATATTGTACAGAATGCGGTGCTTAACGTGTAATCGGTGTAATCTATTGTTATTTCTCCCTTTTATTGGAGAAATCTCAGTTTTAATTATTTTTTTCCAAAAATAAATCATGCATTTGGTTATGATATATATGTTTTCATCGCAGCATTTTTAAAATACGATTCTTAAAGACTCCTACAAAACTATGATAGTAATCTTTTTAAAGTGTTTTTTTTTAATAAATGCATTAAAAATTCTAGATTTAGTGTAGATTTAAATTTTTCCAGTTTTCTTTTTTCTTTATTACCTGTTAATGTTCTTGTACCAGTCTGAGTATTACTTTGAAATAATGTACATGCAGGAAAAGAATAAGGATAATACTACATCTTTATGTATAAAACATATGAATCTCATCTTTATACATACCAAAAAAGTAATTTTTAACTCCTGGATTGTAATAAATAAATTTAGATTACTTTCAGACAAAACTATGCCTCTGCTGCTAAATCATATCTTTCCAATTTTAGCAATAGATGGAAACTGCAGTACTTGATAGTACTTCTTTTGTGACAGAGCTTGTTTATATAGAATTTTGAACTTTTAAAAAGTTCCTTTTCATTTTTGAGGCTTTTCGCAGTAGGACTAGAGACAAATCTCAGGAGAACAAGTAACTTCTATCAAATGAATTAATTGAAATGGATTTTTTCATGTAAATGCCTGATTTTAAAAGGAATACATGGAGATGACCCAACTTTTAACTTTTATTACAACTTGACTGAAAACTGCTTCATTAATGTGTAGCTTGATTAATAAGTGTTGCCTATGATTCAAAGAGTAAGAGCTACAAAGTTTTCATTATGAAAAAGATGAAGTAGTGATTCCTATAGCATTTTGAAAAAATATATATTGAATTACAGTTGGTATCCAAGGAGGAGTTGATTCCAGGACCACCTGCAGATACTAAAATCCAAGGATGCTCACGTCCCTTATATAAAATGATGTAGAACGGTGCATACAGTTGGCTCTTCAAATGTGCAGATTCCCAACCGTAGGAGAAAAATAACTATTTTGCATCCGCAGTTGGTGAATCTGGATGTAAAACAGATAAGAGGATATGGAGGGCCTACTGCCTCTGTGTGTGTCTTTGTGTGCATGTGTGTGCACACATTTGCACATATCATAGTGCTTGATAAATTTTCATCTATGTAACCAGCACCCAGATCAAGACAGAACATCACTAAACTTCATGGGCTCATCCTGCTGCCTTCCAGGTGTTCCTCTCCACACTTGCCTCTCCCAAGGGCAACTACTATCTTGATTTCCTACAATATAAGCCATTTTTTTCTGTTTCGATACTTTATACATATAAAACTATGTTCACTTTTGTGTCTGGCTTCGTTCACTCAACAATGTGAGATTAACCCTTATGATCGTGAATAACCCTTATAGATTTGGGTGTCTGCAGAGGATCCTGGAACCAACCTGTTTGCATAGCTTTTACCTTCTCATTGGTTCTGAATTGGGACAGTTTTGCCCCTTGGAAATTTGGCACTATCAGGAGACATTTTTGATTGTCACAGCTGTGGGGCTAGGAGGTACTACAGGCATCTAGTAGGTAGAGGCCATCAATGCTGCAAAACATCTACAATGCAAAGGCCAATCCCACAACAGAGTTATTTGATCCCTTGCTTTGCAACACTCTCATTGTTTGTAATGTGCATATTGCTTATTTAAGCACTTCCTACCTTGCACCATTCTTTGAGCCATGTTACCTTGAAAGTTCCACATTTGCTTTAACAATTCTGAAGTTCCTTCTACTGATTGAAAAGGATATCACTTCCTACAGGTGGCGATGGCTATATACTGTATTGTATATGATTAGGGCTGTGGTCCTTTTATCATCTTACTTTCTAACAGGATTTCTACAAATGAAAGAGTATGAGAAGCAGTTACTACCAATTAAAATTAGTTTCCTAAAATGTTATGGCAATATCAAGGTTTGGGAAATCAATCCCAAGGGATTCTTGCTGATAGTAGGAGAAAGTGATTGATTATATTGTACTGCAGTGAGAAAACACTGCAAGTATCAGTTTCATCATATTCACTTGCTTAGGGCCCCATGAAGAAAGAATTTGTAAAGTTATCCATTTTAAATATAAATTTGCCACCTTTTAAAGTAAGGCTGAGTCATTGAAATTAGTATTATACCTGTCACTGAAAACACTGAAAAATGTTTTTGTTGTGAAATTTATATTTTTACAAGAACTGAGGAATTATCATGTAAATGTTAAATGCTAAAAGGGATCTTTCAGATCATCTGGCCCCCATCAATTTAATAGTAAACAAAATGAGAAACAGGAACATGCATCAGATTACACGGCTAGTGTTAAGACTCATTGCTTGAACATGGCTGTGATGTGTGTGTGTGTGTGTGTGTGTGTGTGTGTGTATACATACTCTGTGGTCATTATCAAGAAGTTTAAGTGATGAAAAATATCAAAGAGTTGCAGAATTTAAGCTGAAAGAACTTTCAGTTTAACCAATTCTGCCATATTTTGTAGATAAACTTCAGAACACATTTCATTCAACTCTGCATGCTCTGAATTTCTTTGAAAACATACTGAAACATCTAAATATTCAATTATAGATGCTATACTTCAAAGAGTATGATTCTCTGGCTTCAAGTTTAAAATTTTCACATCTTGGGCTTCTGTCGTTTGTCACATCAACATAATCCTTACATTTAAGCAAAATTTTACTTTTAATTTGAACTCAATTTCCACTTCGTGTGACGTTCTCTTGTTGCTTCAAAGCAGGATTTATCCACCTTGACATTGTTGACATTTTGATCCAGATAGTTCTTTGCTGTGGAACCTGTTCTGTGCACTATAGGATGTTTAGTAGCATCCTTGGCCTCTACTCTGTAGATGCCAACAGCAGCCCCTATTATGTCAAAAATACCTTCAGACATTGCCAGATTTCTCTGGGGAGCAAAATGTAATCTGAAAAAAAATTTAGGTACCCTGCATTTTATCTGGCAATCCTCTTAATTTGTAAGTACTTGGTTTACACCATACTATTTTGCATTTGATTATATACTTTGTATACAACTCTTTTGTATTTTTGTTGTCTTAAATTGTTCCTCTCACATCTGGCAAGAAGGGACTCAATTCCCTACTAAACTTAAACACAGCACTAAACCTGGTACTCTTCATTCTCATCTTTGCATTACTAGCAAGGACATCTTAAACTTTTTCCTAAGTTTTTCATTGTCTGCCCTCCCCATTTTATGTCAATAGAATATATATAAGATACAATTTAATTATCCAGAAGATCCAATTAAGGCTTTGAGCAATTGACTTCCAATCATACTATTAGAAGTTATAATCACTTAAAGCCATGTTGCTACTATAAAGCTATAGTAATTAAGATAGATTGATAATGGCATAAGGATAGACAAACTGACCAATGAACAGGAAAAACAAATTCAAGAAAGACCTGCATATAAGTAGTCACTCAATTTATATCAAAAGTAACATAGTGCAGTGAAAAAAGGACAATCTTCAAAATATATCGTCAAGTCAATTGGATAATCATATAGGAAAAGAATGTATTTTTGCTTTTACTTTATACATAAAAATCTCTTCCAAATGGATTGCAAATCTAAACGTGAAAGATTAAACAAAGCTTTTACTGGAAATAAAGACCTGCATGATCTTGGAGTAGGCAAGTTTTTTTTTTAATCAGGACACACCATGCAAGGGAAAATTGATTAATTGTATTATATTAAAATTAAGAACTTTTAATTCACCAAGAGACATGAAGAAGACAACCAAAAGTGAAGACCTAGATATATCCAACAATCGAGGTGTGTGTATATATTCAGCAAAGGAGTTGTATACAAAATATATAAACAACTAAAATCAAGCAAATACCAAGAGAAAAAAGATTTTTACTTTTATTAAAAATAAAAGATCTAAAACATTTACAAAGAAGGATATCCAAATGTCCAATAAACATGAAAAGGTGCTCTAATTAATCATCAGAAATGCAAATTAAGTCCACAATATCATACGTTCCCAGAATGACTAAAAAAGGTAATAAGTGTGAGCGGAGATGTAGAGCAAGTACAACTGGTGTTGATGGAAAACATGATGGTATAAACACTTTGGTAAACTGGCAATTCTAAAGCTTAATTCACCCCAGGACCTAACAATTGCACTCTGAGGTATAGACTGGAAATGCACACATCCGTTCACCAAAATACATGTACTCCGATAAAAGTCTACACCAGCATTACATAGAATAGCCAAAAGCAAGATACTACTCACTGCTCATCGACACTAGAATGGAGATCTCATTTGTGGCATATTCACATGGTGGGATATACTACATAATGAAAATGCTTTATGGGCTACTTGCAGCACAATGTTGACACTAATAAACTTGTTGGTAAAACTAATAATTTGTGAAAACAGGCAGATACCAAAGAGTACTTACTATATAATTCCATTAATGTGAAGTATGAAACACACCTATGCTGCCAGCCATCAGGATGGTGCTTACCCTTGGGTGGAGAAGGAAAGTGACCAGGAGGAAAGTCAAAGTGGGCTCTGCAGTGTTGGTAATGTTCTTTTTTCTGAATTTAGGTGTTGGCTGCATGGGTAATCCTAGTTGTGCAAACTTAAGTTGTACACTTATGTACACTTTTTTGTATGCATATTATACTTCAATAAAATGCCTTTTAAAATATAACTAAATGTACTCTTAAAACCATAGATGACCTATTCAAAGATAACCAGTACCATAAAAAGAGTCTTGAAGTGAATCCACTTTTTAAAAAAGGAATTAAAATATTTGGTTATATCAGAAAAGTTTGAAACAAAATTATGGTTTTTCTTTTTAAATAGGTATTATTTCAACTATACATTAATTCTTAGATTTAAAAAAAACATCAAGTTTACAAAGCATTTTATTTTTTTTTCTAATATTGTTTTAGACATATTTTACATTTTTAAAACATGATCAATTTTTCCAAGAGTTTAAAGAGTTTTCCAAGAACCTCTGAAGCTTTGGATAGTAAAATCATTCTCTTTTAGCGTTCCTAACATTGAGTCATTCATGTAGTTTTTCCTTCTTGAATTATTAATTGATCTAACAGTTATTTCATTGATTTCATGAAATGTTTCATTTTTGTCACATTTGCAATTTTACTTCAGCATATTTACATGAAATGCCATAGTCATTAAATATGCTTCCTTAAAATGAAAACGAGCTAAACAGATAAGGTTGCAATGCTATAGAGTATTCTTTGATCTTATTGTCATATAAAAATAGAGGTTCTAATTCTTTTGTGTAAGATTAACTTACAACTTCTTATGTATTCTAGTATAAAGACAATATTCCTGTATTTAAAATGAGTGACAATTTAATGATACGAAAATAGGTATTAAACAGCATTTGAGATCTTGTTCCCCGGCATATTTCA